GTCTTCTACCAGGGTGGCAGTTACCCACGGCTTCACTGCTGCCCCAGCCTCCCCATCTCTGTCACACAGTCATTTGAAGAGTCCTTGGGATATTTCACATCATTCACTTCCCAAGGCATCATTTTATTGTTAGAATGGAGAGAAGTGGTATATGTTTTCCTATTGGGAAAAGGGAGAGAAATCCGTATAAATGCTAAACTTGTTACAACTGTCAAAACATATGAAATGGGATACATAAACACTGAGTTATTATCATGCTTTATTTTTTTACTGAGAAATAAAATCTATAGCATGTTTTGGTAAATAATTAAGAAATTAAACCACCACATGAGATCAGCCCTGTAGTATAGTGGGTTAAGCCATGGCCTGCACTGTTGGCATCCCATATTGTAATGCTGGTGCCAACTTCTGTCCGCTCCGTTTCTGATCCAGCTCTTTGCTAATGGGTATAGGAAAGCAGCAGAAGATAGGGAAATATCAGGGTCCCTGCTACCCAAGTGGGAGACCAAGATGGAACTCTGGGCTTTAGACTTTGCCAGACTAGCTTTAGCCATTATGGCTATTTAGGGAATGAACAAGCAGATGGAAGATCTCTCTCTCTCTCTCTCTCTCTCTTTCCCTTTTTTCTGTCACCCTTTCTTTCACACAAATGAATGGATGAATGGATGGATGGATGGATGGATGGATGGATAACATAAAAGAAATACTAAACCATAATGGAGTTACCAGGTTGCTAGAATAGGTAAAACAATCATTTGCCCAGAGGCACTATTGATCCAGCACCAAGGAGAGCCCCTTACATTTTAACTTTGTCACACCAGCACAAGTGTGTATCTCAGCTTTTACATTCAGCTTGTACACTACCAGTCCTTCATTCCTCTGTTGCTCTCCATTGTACTGAAACTCACCCCATCAATCTTTATGTACTTCCTTCCTTTTTAATACCTCTCCCCAACATTTTTTTATTGTATAAATTACACATAATGTCACATTGTGACCATTTTAAATTGTGTATTTCAGTGACATTAACTATTCTAATAATGTTTTATAACCATCATGGCCATCCATCTCCCACCTTTCCTCAGCCCCTGGTAAATGCCATTCTACTTGTCTCTCTTCCCTACTTTTTATGTAACCTGCTCATGATCTAGGGATGGCTCACCCATACCATAAATATGACCCTTAGGAACTTGTACTTACATAAATGTAACTTCTTGGGCCCTTTTAAAGATGGACTGAAACAAAAACTCAAGAGGGGAACCCATAAAAAAAATCTGCATTTAAAACTCTCCTCTGAGTAATTCTAATGTCCAGTACAGTGAGAACCATTGATCTAGTGATTTAAAATGTGAAAAGGTGCTTTTTAATTCTTGCGTCAAACTGTAAAATCATAATCCCTATTTAATTCCTGGATACTTTCATCACTCCAAAAATAAGTCCCTTTCTCACTGGTAATTACTCACTCCCTACTCCAGTCCCTGGCAACTACAACCTCATTAATCAAACTATCCTTTAAAATCCTGGTTAAAGGTCTCTTCTATAAAAGATTTCCCAACACCAAGAACAACATCGCCAAGCACCCATCAGCTGTTCAGTGTCACCAGGAAAGCCCAGTGGGTTCTTTCCTCAGCTTAACATAGACGTGGAAAGCCAGGAACCAGTTGGAGACAGAGAAGTTTATCTGAGAAGTGTTCAGGTGAATGGGGAGAGGAAGGGAAAACCACCTCCCGAGAGAGAGAGAGAGAGAGAGAGAGAGAGAGAGAGAGAGAGAGAAAGAGAGAGACAGGAAGCAGGGTGCCTCTCTGAAGGAAAGAGGGAGCTGCGGGGTTTGAGGAAGGGTCTGTGGCTTTTAAGCCATCTCTGACCCCTCCTTATTGGGCAGGAACCTGCAGGTAAGATGTTCCTCATTGGTGGTCTCTTACCCAGTTAGGAAATGGGTGGACAATCCTTGTGCTGTCCACCTGCAGGCGTGGCCAAGACTTCAGCAGGCCTGGACTGTCTCGTTTAGTGTAATTGGAACATTTTTTATGCTTACCATGGGCCTACTGTTTTCACATACATTACTATTTTGTGTTCACTGATCTCACTACTTGTCTCAGGTAGATATTCTTGTCTCCCATTAGACTTTATTTTTGTTCCCGAAAGGCACATATATTCATGCCTACTGTTCCAGAAGTATGTAAACAATTTTTCTGCTATCGCCCATCATTTGTACACATTTTTTGTCAAGTCCAAACACAATTTTAAATGAAGTAGGTAGTTTTTCTCTATATGTACCTTTGCCTTCTTGGTGGCTGCTAAGATCTGCTCACGGAAACTCCCCTGCGTGACCCGGGGACTGTGCTACGGGCAGTCACCAGAGACAGGCGGAATCCGTCAGCCTCAGCCGAATTGTCTGTGGCCCGTGTTTCTTTTTTTCTTTCTCAGTTTATGTGAAAGGCAGAGTTGCAGAAAGAGAAGGGGAGAGAGAATGAGAGAGAGTGCTTCCATTTGCTGGTTCAAATGGCTGCAATCACCAAGGCTAAGTTTAGCCAGGCAGAAGCAAGAAGCCAGGAGCTCCATGTGGGTCTTAAAAATTTGTGCTAATGCTTTCATTGCCCAAACTGGCCTGGTGTTCTTTTCCAATCATTCTCCTATACTTTGGAGCAGTTGAATAAGTGGTTTTCAGAATGTTCATGGAAAATGCATTTTATAAAAATACTGTGCATGGACTTCAGGGCTTTTTTTTCTTTGAGTTTTATTTATTTGAAAAGCAAAGCAACAAAGAATTCTTTCATCTTCAAATGCCCAGAACAGTTAGGAGCCTGAACTCTGCCTGGGCTCCTCGAGGGGTGACAGGTACCAGCTGTTGTAACCATCCTCTCTGACCTCTCAGGGTGTGCTGTGGCAGAATGCTGGATGGGAAGCAAAGCCTGGACTTGAACCCAGACTCTTAATATGAGGCTGATGGGTGTCCCAAGTTGCAATTAATAAATCATTCCTCATCACAAGGGTTTTTTTTTAATGAAAATAAATGTACTTTTTAATTCTATTTTTTTCAGGAACTCTGAAGTATCCACATATCAAAAAAGTTCCAGGGCCCGGTGCAGTAGGCTAGTGGCTAAAGTTCTTGCCTTGAGCTCCTGGCTTCCAATCGGCGCAGCTCCGGCTGTTACAGCCACTTGGGGAGTGAATCATTGGGTAGATCTTCCTCTCTGTCTCTCCTCCTCTTTGTATACCTGACTTTCCACTAAAAATAAATAAATCTTAAAAAAAAATTCTGCCCCCTGTACAGTGGCTGCAGTATTTCGTTCACATGCCATACAGCAATGTGAACGGTAGGTGGCACTTTGGTGCTGTGACTAAATTCCACATTTGAAGGCAACCAACAGAAAGCTACCCAGCTCTTTTTAGCACTCAGAGGATCAATTCAGCTTGGCCGCCAAAGACATCCTGTAGGTGGTCAAAAACTGATCTTGCCCCTAGCTCCCACCAGTAGGAAGGAGCAGTGTGCAATTTGAGCAGGTGTCAGTGGCCGAATTGGCTGGAGCTGCGCAGATCCATAGCCAGACGCCCAGAGCCTCTTCCGGGTCTCCCACACGGGTTCAGGGTCCCAAAGCTTTGGGCTGTCCTCGACTGCTTTCCCGGGCCACAAGCAGGGAGCTGGACGGGAAGTGAGACCGCTGGGATTAGAACCGGCGCCCATATGGGATCCTGGAGTGTGCAAGGCGAGTTTAACCGCTACGCTACTGTGCTGGGCCCAGAAGAAACATTTTTTAAAAACAAAACAAAACAAAACAAAAAACAGGATGTGGTCTTAAAATTGAAAGCGTTGTCTCTGTCTGACTTGTAAGACTCAGACTTAACGATCAGTTTGTAACGTGGGTACAGGGTCATCATTCTACCGATTTCCAAAGCGCTGCTGCAGCAGAAGCCAGAAAGCCAGCTGTGTGAAAGCTGCAGGTTACCCTTAGATCCGAGGAGTTAGGACGGGTTTCCAAGCCTTCCCCGCGACGTCCAGGGCGCACGTGATAAACGAGCAGACAGAGAGCCACGCGGCAGGACGAGCCTGCCACAGTTACATCCAGCCTGACGCTGCTGGGCGGACAGGGCTTCCAAAAAACCCCGTCCAATCTGCAGGATTTGAACGCGACGCTGAGCAGCAGGTGTCCGTGCTGGAGTCAGAACTCCGCCCCCAGCCCAGCCACTCTGCGGGCGCTGTCTCTTTAACACGCAATAGAACTCCGATGGCATCGATCGCAGCCTCCCACCGCCCCTGCCTCCGGCCCCCCGCGTCCCCGCCGCCGTTTCGGGGTGTCCGGCCGAGAGGGGCGGGGGGCGCTGGTCAGCCGCGGCCTCGCTGGACAGGCGCGCTGGCCCCCGGCGCACCCCGCCGCCGCCTCCCCGGGGCTCGGCTGGTCACGCCTGGGCCGTCGCTGTCGGAGTGACCGGGAGGCGCCCGTGCTCGGGGCCCAGGGTTCCGTGCGCCTCGCGGTCCCCCCCTGCCCCGCGGTCCCCCAGCCCCGCGGTCCCCCCGCTCCGCGGTGCCCCCCGCCCCGCGGTCCCCCTGCCCCGCGGCCCGGCTTCCCCTTGCCCCGCGGTCCCCCCGCCCCGCGGCCCGGCTTCCCCCGGCCGCTGCCCGCCGCCCGCCGCCCGCCGCCCGCCGCCCGCCGCCCGCCGCCCGCCGCTGCCCCATGGCGGCCTCGCCGGTGAGGAGGGGTCCGCGGCCTGAGCCGGCGGGGACCGAGGGAGGTGTCAGCCCCCGGGTCCCGAGCCGCCGCCCCTCGCCCCTGGGACCCCGCCGACGGCCTGCCTCACCGTCACCCCCGGAGTTTGGGGCGCTTTATTTACGTTGTTTGTTAGGGCGGCCCCCGCCGGGAACGTACCTTTCCCGCCCGCGCCCGGGGGTTTCGGGGTGTCCCGCTGCGGGATGCTGGGCCCCGGGGTGGCGGCTGCGGGGAGCCCCAGGGCTGGGGAGGGCCGCCCCGCGCTGACGGAGACCGAACCCCTTTCCTTCCCAGGAGGACCCCGCCCTGGAGCGCTACTTTAAAGGGCACAAAGCGGCCGTCACTTCGGTGGACTTCAGCCCACAGGGCAAACAGCTGGGTAAGTGCCCCCCGCCGGCCCTGCGCCCACCCGAGTGGGTCACCCCGAGCCGGTCACTCTGCGCCCACCTTGAGCTGCTCACCCCGAGCCGGTCACCGCGCGCCGCCGGCCCTGCGCCCACCCGAGCGGGTCACCCCAAGCCGGTCACTCTGCGTCGCCTACCCCGCGCCAGTCACCCCGCGCCCACCCTGAGCCGGTCACCGCGCGCCGCCGGCCCTGCGCCCACCCAAGCGGGTCACCCCGAGCCGGTCACCCCGCGCCTGTCACCCTGCGCCGGTCATCCCGCGCCGCCGGCCCTGCGCCCACCCCGAGCTGGTCACCCCGAGCCGGTCATCCCGCGCTGGTCACCCTGCACCCACCCGAGCCGGTCACCCCGAGCCGGTCACTCTGCGTCGCCCACCCCGAGCCGGTCACCCCGAGCCGGTCACTCTGCGTCGCCCACCCCGAGCCGGTCACCCCAGCCGATCACCCCGCGCCCACCCCGGCCGGCCCGAGCTGCTCGCCCAGCGGCCAGCAGGAGGCGCGCGTGGGCAAGGGGCGGGGTTTGCGCTCGGCCCGCGGAGGAGGAGGCGGCCCCGGGGTGTGGGCTGGAGAGTTTGTGGAAAGTTCTGAGGCGAGCAGGAGGAAGTGGGCGTCGAGGCGTCCCAGGGGTCGCCGGGCGCCTCCGCGGAGCCCCGGGGGCGAGCCGTAGGGTCCGAGCGGGCGGGCGGGCGGCCGCATGAGGGCCGGGAGCTGCACCTGCGGCGGGAGCTGAGCGGCCCTTCCGCCCGGCGAGGGGGGCGAGGTGGCCGCGGCTGCTCCCCGGGCCATGAGGATCCGGATGGCCGTGAGGTGGACCTGGGCCGGCAAGAGCTGCCTGCTGCTGGCGCTGCTCACGGCGGCCTACCTGCTCGTGGAGCTCTCGGTGTCGGTGTCGCAGTCGTCGGCCGGGCGCCGGCGGGGCCGCCGAGGGGCAGGCGGCCCGACGGCCGGCGGCTGGGAGGGACGGCGGCCGGGAGGAGGATCTGTCCCGGCCGCTGTACGAGAAGCCCCCCGCCGACCCGCAGGCGCTGGGCGAGTGGGGCCGGGCCGGCAGGCTGCAGCTGAGCGAGGGAGAACGGAAGCAGCAAGAAGAACTCATCGAGAGATACGCCATCAATATTTACCTCAGTGACAGGATCTCCCTGCACCGCCACATCGAGGATAAACGCATGTACGAGTGTAAATCCAAGAAGTTCGACTACAGGAGCCTTCCCACCACCTCGGTCATCATCGCCTTCTACAACGAAGCCTGGTCCACCTTGCTCCGCACCATCCACAGTGTTCTCGAAACTTCGCCCGCAGTCCTCCTGAAGGAGATCATCCTGGTGGACGACTTGAGCGACAGAGTTTATCTGAAGGCACAGCTGGAATCGTACGTCAGCAATCTGGAGAGAGTGCGCCTGATTAGGACCAGAAAGCGCGAGGGGCTGGTGAGGGCCCGCCTCATCGGGGCCACCTTTGCCACGGGCGACGTCCTCACCTTCCTGGACTGCCACTGTGAGTGTAATTCCGGGTGGCTGGAGCCCCTCTTGGAAAGGATCGGGGAAGATGAGACGGCCATTGTCTGCCCTGTGATCGACACCATTGATTGGAATACGTTTGAATTCTATATGCAGACGGGCGAGCCCATGATCGGTGGCTTTGACTGGCGCCTGACGTTCCAGTGGCAGTCTGTCCCCAAACAGGAGAGGGAGAGGCGCAGGTCGAGAACTGACCCCATCCGGTCTCCCACCATGGCCGGGGGGCTGTTTGCTGTGAGCAAGAAGTATTTCCAGTACCTAGGAACCTACGACACTGGAATGGAGGTGTGGGGCGGTGAGAACCTGGAGCTGTCTTTCAGGGTGTGGCAGTGCGGTGGGAAACTGGAGATCCACCCGTGTTCTCACGTGGGCCACGTGTTCCCCAAGCGGGCACCTTACGCCCGCCCCAACTTCCTGCAGAACACGGCTCGGGCAGCCGAAGTGTGGATGGACGGGTACAAGGAGCACTTCTACAACCGAAACCCTCCGGCCAGAAAGGAAGATTACGGGGACATCTCCGACCGAAAATTACTCCGGGAGCGCCTGAAATGCAAGAGCTTCGACTGGTATCTGAAGAACGTGTTTTCCAATTTACACGTTCCGGAGGACCGGCCCGGCTGGCACGGGGCTATCCGTAGCAAGGGCATCTCTTCGGAGTGCCTAGATTACAATTCCCCGGATAACAATCCCACGGGGGCTAACCTTTCGCTCTTTGGGTGCCATGGCCAAGGAGGGAACCAATTCTTCGAATACACTTCGAACAAAGAGATAAGGTTTAATTCTGTGACGGAGTTGTGTGCGGTGGTTCCTGAGAAAAAAGATAACGTAGGAATGCAAAATTGCCCAAAAGATGGGTTCCCTATTCCAAAAAACATTATTTGGCATTTTCAAGAAGACGGGACCATTTTCCACCCACACTCGGGCCTGTGCCTGAGTGCGTACCGGACACCCGAGGGCCGCCCTGACGTGCGCATGAGAGCTTGCGATGCTTTAGATCCAAATCAGCTCTGGAGCTTTGAGAAATAAAGGAGTCCAACAGCACTTTCCCTTGTGAGCTGAGCATGGCTTCCGGAAAGCCGGGGAGCGTTGAGAGCCTTAGTGAAGATTGTCTTTTATCCAAAGTCACCCAGTGGCCATCTGGAGAGCGCCGTGTAGCTGTGGTGTGTTTTGGTGTATGCCACTGAAACCCTTGCATAGAGTGCTGCTGTTTAATATTTCAAAGTGCCTTATGGGGGTGTTCTATTTAGGCGTTTTGTTAGTATGTTCTCTTACTTCTTAAAGAAGTCAACTGTGAATTGAGATATATGACAGTTAAGTGCCAGACTTAATATTACAGAATGTAAAAGTCCAAATCAAATGAGATATGGTTTATATTCATGGGTAAACTCACTGCACTTTTTTTTTGAAGCAAAGTGCCCAAATGTGCAGTTTAAACTATTCTATTTTGATGACATAGGATTTGAGTTTCTTTTAGCCAGCACATTAAATTTTTTATTTATTTTTAAATCTTATTTTCCTTTAATTAGGTAGAAAGTAAAAAAAGAAAAAAAAAAACAAAACAAAACACAAAAAACCAAAAAAATCAGGTTCTTAAGGTGAAAGGCCTGAATTATTGCTGTGTTTCATTGCAGGAGGGCATTGGTTTGAATGTGAGTTTGGAGTTCTTTTTCACATACAGATGTCTCTGAAGAACTACCCACATCTGAATGAAGTTGGGGAAGACATAACATTCCCGCCTTTGTCAACTTGAGCTGTTTTACTTACCTGGTCTTACTGACGTACATGGATACCTCAGGGTGCTTTGTAAGCAGTCCTGCTTGCTTTGTGTGTAGGGCATTTCCGTTTGCACTTCCTTAAGTTATGAATATCCTAGCCGGGGACTCACCGGAACTCAGTGCCTCCCTTTGTTAATGCTTAATCAATTTAAGTCAGCACAGTTGAGGCTTCACTGAAATGTGTGAAACTGAAAGTGGGCCACATACTACAAAGGCTATGAAACTCCCAGGAGTTCTTGCTGATCAAGAAATGTCAGGATTGATCTCAAGAATGCCAGGGGGAAAGTCAGCCTTGGTAGTGGGGAACCCGCTTTCAGGCTTGCTTTTAGCACTTCCCAGCCTGGCGAGTGAATGAAAGACTAAATGGGTAGCTAGGTCAGCCAAGGAATGCAGCTTGGGCTGTCATTGGAAATGCTTGGGCCACAGCTTCCTTATCGTGAAATGTGGGTGCTGGGTTAGATCTGGGAGGTCCTTCCCAGCTCTGGAGGGGGATCACCTCCACGCACTGGGTGGTCTTCCCTGCACTTTCTGTGGCAGGTGCTGTTGAGCAGCTCAGCAGCGTGTTTCAACAGTGGTAAATCTGGAAAAGAGAAGTGGTTGGAAAGTTCAGTGAGCTGACCTCACCTCACATGTTATTTCTATGGGTGGAAAGTATTTTATTCACAGTGCTTTCATTTTGACAGTTGTTGAGCCAACTTTTACTTCAAAATGTTGAACTCTACAAGTAATCTTTTGACTAAGAATATAAATATTTTCTAAACTCATTAACTTGAGAAGCAAACCTTTGTTAATTTTTTAAGCTAGTATAATACCAATGTTTTAATCCAGAAATGAGAGGGTTATAATAAAATCTCAATTTTTGGTTTAGATTTATGAAAAATACATGTTCAAAGGAAATAAATCTGTTAGTCATAAGAAAAGCTATTTACATGTTGATTTGATGAGTAAGAACTTTACAAAACTCTGAATTTAATGGCTTAGGATTACCATTCACAATATAAAGTTGCTATATAATCTTAAATATTTTGCTTCTTGAAATGAAAAGCTGTTGATGGTTTCTACAAGTTGTTCAGCAGCCTTAAAGTTTATCAAACAATAATCCAGATTCCATGTGTACTCTTTTTTTGACTCCTGGATTTAATTTTTTAAAGAATTAATAATCTGTGAATTTTTCTAGGGATATCTTCCTTACCTATCTTTTCCTCTTGGCTACTCTACTTTAAAATTTGTCTCATTTCTATTGACACATGGTTTTTCTGTTTCAATCAATTTTTTGAAGTCCTTCCTAGCCCTGTGTCATATGGGAGAAGTAAAACTGTTCTAGAAATACTTACTGGAAATACTCTTGTTTTTATATCATGACAGTTCCCAAAAGGGAAGCGAGGCTTTTAAAACTCCTTAATTCTTGATCTGCCGTTTGTCCTGTCTTGGTGAGTATGCGTCAGCAGTCTTCTTGAAAGAAGTTTTGGGCTGCTGCTTTACTTATCCATAATTTAGAATGGTGAGGTTGCTGATATCTCACAGCCATGTTCCTAACACAGAGGCTGTCTTGACATTTTTATTGGAACATAGGCACATTAATTTCTAGAGATAACTGTAATTCTATAAAATATATTTTGAGTCCTTCCAATATTTTTTGTACCAAAGCTCTCTTTTGCTATAGACAATTAAGAGTTGACCATTTAAGTTAGTTTACATTCTTACTCACAGTTTCAGGAAAATATTTCTTGGGGACAGGAGTTTCTCAATTTTAAATATCCACTATGTTGTATAGTACTCAGTCAAGTCTATAAGTAGACTGAACAAATAGGCATTTTTCATAGTCAATGTTTAAAAACATAATCCAGTCACCAGAAGGATCTCTGTAACTCAAAGTAACTTATTTGTAAAAGAAAGTTTGTTTGTTCAACAGTAGGTGCCCGCATATTCACAAAATGTAAATCAGGCTTTTCTCGATTGAAGACAGGAATTGTTTTTAGATTTTATAGTCTTACTTGATTAAGATCTTGATTTTCATTAATAAAATTTTTAGTTTTTACTTGTTCTTTTGAATTACTGTTTTAAGAAAATATCTGAAATAAGCACAAAGAATGTTGAAGTTCATATCTCTTTGAATGATGAATTTTTTTCTGTGTAATGAGCAGTTTCTATCTTTTTTCCTTTTGTTAATGGTATTTGTAATGTTGATTAAGAATGTAAAATAAAATGTCTGCTGAATTAGTTTTACAAATGGTTTCTGCTTATTTTGGCCTAGGAGAACACTGCTTCTGTGCACACATACATGACATTACTAGGAGGCTAAAGGACAGAATGCTTTTGTGCTTCTGATTATTTTACTTGGTTGAAAATACAGTCAAATATAAAAAAGTCGATTCCCATATTATCGTGCAAGCTGTCATCAATGACTGAATATTCCGAAGTGCCATTTGTACTGTTTGCACTGTTCATTGACTACTCAGGGACAACCTGGAGGTGACCAGGGGATCTCTGAGCCCCACTGTGGCTATACTATAAAAGAAGGATCAGCTGAGCCCTTCGTCACATTAGTACCAATTTCAAAACCCTGGGCCAGGAAGAAACGTGTCCTGTAAGCCACCCGGTGCTGTACTTGGTCTGTGACTCCTGACTGGCCAGTTCACTGCACCCTCCTGCCTTTTCCTGGAGAGTTGCCCTGCCCGGGAGTGGCTGTTTCAAGGGCTGTTTTCATCAGACGCCTCTTAGCCACATTCAGGATTTGAAAAGAAAGCTAAACATATTCTTACTTACCTCCTATTTTGTGTATACTTTTAAGCTACCAAAAAATAGGCACTTTCTTACAAAATGACCTGAGATCATGTCCAGATCCCCTCATCTTTCTGCTTCAGCTTTATAAAAGTAAAGTGACTGGAGAGTCCCGAGTGACAGTATGTTGGGAGTTGCCGGGACAGGGGCCTGTCGGAGTGGGAGAAACACGCGCTGTACTTAGGGACAATGGGTCAGGTGAAAGGGTGAGTTACATACTTTGTAAGGATAACTTTTATAATAAATGAAATTAGCAACCATGAATTATTGTTTCCAGTCTGGAGGGAGTGGGGGAGGTGTCCAGCAATTGCAACTGGCAGAGGGAAGGTCGCAGAGAGAGTGGCTGGAGTTTTTCCATGTGAATCTGAAGAAATGAGAGTGAGTCAAGGAAATGAATGCATAGAAGTGGTGTTACACATTGGATGAGAAGGTGTCATAGCTGGAGAGTGAAAGGGAGATGTTGAGAGCCTCAGTGGAGAGTTGTTGATGAAATTGAATCGACTGAGTGATAAGGAGAGATCCCCGCTGCTACTCCGGGTCTGAAATATTACCAAGCACCTAGGTCTTTGCTTCCTGAGCCTTCACACCTCCACTTAAAATGCCTCTGATCACTCTATGGAAATAAAGTATTCCACCCACACAAAAAAATCTTCTGACTTCTTGCTTTCTTTCATGCCTGAGACACAATTTAAAGTGGTATATTTGCCTGCAAAGGATGTGTTTCCATGCTTCTACACTTGAATTTAAGTTCCGCATTTAGAGATTTTGTTGCTTTTCTTAGGTCCTTTCACCCTCCTGTATTTGCCACAGTGTCTCAGGTGCTGTTGTTGTCGGGGAGGGTCACATATCTATTAGAAGAAGTAATGATGACAGTAGGGATAGGATATAGAGGAAGACTGACCTGAACTAAGTAGGGTCTAAACCACAAAATAATTGCCTGAAAGGGTTTGGGAAACTTGACTTCTGCAGCAGAGACTGGGATTGAGTGGTTGGAGAGGAGGGACTCTGAAAGGAGCATGTGAATATATGGACGATTATCCAGTGGCTATCCCTCTAGCTGAGTGGTAGCTTTGGTGAAGGAGGGGCAGCTGTAAGGTGGGGGTTTCCTAAGCAGTAACAGTTTGCAGCTGATGAATGTCCGCAGATGTTCACGGCTTAAACAGTTTGGTCATAACCGTAGGAAACAGAACGGGAAACATGGTGGAGCTCTTTGATAGGCTCTGTAGAGGTGTGTGTGTTCCTTCCCTCCCTTGCTCTCTTCTTCTCTTCCTCCTCACTCTCTCCCTCTCTCCCTCTCTCCCTCTCTCCCTCTCTCCCTCTCTCCCTCTCTCCCTCCCTCCCTCCCTCCCTCTCTGCTTTGCTTTCTACTGTTTATTTTTATTTATTTGAAAGTCAGCTATATATATAGAGACAGAGATCTTCCACCTGCTGGTTCACTCACCAAATGATGGCCACAGCTGGGGCTGGGTCAGGCTGAAGCCAGGAGCTTCATCTGGGTGGGCAGGGACCCAAGCACTTGGGACACGCTTCACCGTTTTCCCAGGTGCACTAGTAGGGAACTGGATTAGAAGTAAAACAGCCAGGATGCCAACCAGTCCTCAGATGCAGACAGCAGCTTTATGTGCTATGCCCTGAGGTCTAAGTTCTTGGTATCATACAGTTGGAGCTGGGCTGTGATAAGAAGGGAGAAGGAAAACAAAACTGTAGCCTATGAATTGTTATTCCTTTTTATAGATGCAGAAACGAAGTTCAGTAACTTTCCCCAAATTGTATACTCTTAAGCAGTTGAGCCGAGTTGGGAGTCTGATCCTGAAAATGGATAGCAAGCCACATAGTAGCTTCTTTGAGCATCTCTTACTATAGCTTACAAATTCACTCGCAGGTACTAAAGTAATTTATTGTACACAGAGACGTCAGTGTTTTTTTCAGTGTATATCAGAGTTGAAAACCCTGTCAAAAATTCGTGGTCTTGAGCCTTATGCCAAAGAATATGACCAGAAATGCTCTTGCTTAACAAGGTCTGCATAGTTCTAATAAAAATAAAAATCCTTAAATACCCTGTACATTACGAAGCACATGGGCTCATTGGTTAAGAGTTGAGGCTGCTGAGCATGCTAGAACTTGGTTAAAAATCAGGCTCTTATCTGCATGACTTTGGTAAGTTGCTTAACTTCGCCAAGCCCAATTTTCTCATCTGTGAACTAAGGATAATGGTATTTACCTGCATTGTTTTGAAAATTAAATAGAATACTTAAAAAGTATTTAAAATTACTCGGCTCTTAGTAATGACTTCTGTTGTTATTGTCAGACCTCAAAGGCAAGTAGAGTTTAATTCAGTTTCTCCTGATTGTCTTGAGTAAAGATGAGTTTTTAAAGCACTCATAGCTCTTTTAGACTGTTTTTTTTTTAAGATTTTAAGAAAAAAATGATATTCCATCTGCTGGTTCGCTCTCCAAGTGCCCACAGTGGTCGGCACTGAGCAGCTGGGACATGAACTAGTGCTTATATAGGATTCTGGTGCATGCAAGGGGAGGATTCAGCTATTAGGCTATTGTGTTGGGCCCTGGACTTTTCTTAGATGGCAGGCTAATATTCCTTTATATCAGCTGGAAAGAAAACTTGCTTGGTTATTCCTTCATTTTGGGCAGAGGAATTTGAAGTTAGTACCAGCACAGACTATAGCATTATATAGTGCTTGGATAGGATGAGCTAATCCTGACCCTCTTGAATGAAATATTGGATTTTTTCTAGTGCAGGTTAAAACCTTGTGTTTTTATTGTGCATTTAGGTATATATATATATATATATATATATATAAAATTTAGGCATATATATATATATATATATATGCCTTGGGATTAAAGTTTAGTTTTCTTAAAAATATTCAGCATTCATTCTCACAGATAGCTTTAGATTTCTTTGTATTTTGCTGAAGAAAACAGGGTAGTGTTTCCTTTGTGTAAACCTGAAAATGACATGAAAAGTACAAAATCCTGGTGCTAAACTAGAAAGCCAAGAATAATCCCGTTATTGATTTTTTCTTAGTAAGGCATAACGGGGGTAGAAAACATGCAAAATGATATCTGAAATAATTGAAACATTCAAAAAATTTTTAGTGAGGATAGTTTGCATTATTAGGAATCTCTTGAGTATGGAATGGAAGGTCTGAAAAGGGAAATAATAAAGGTATATGGAGTTCTCTGCTGTATTGTGAACATAGACCCAGTTAGCATGGGATCCTGGCTGAGTTAGCGAGACCGGCCTCAGGAGGCCTGGCCTGTGACCCACAGGGCTCTGTGGAGCTTGTGCTTGCAGTGAGACATTCTTTGGTTGAGGACCAAGTACCCATGTGATGGGCGAGATTATGAGTCTCCTGTGGGCTGGGGGGTATGTTTCCTTGTGCTGATCTGAGAATTGGATGGTGGATTTTAGAGACCAGAGTGCTGTTTGTCACCATATATCTAGGTGTGGCCAAGAGGAGAAATCTCTCGGAACACCCTATGTGTTTAAAGCATCAGAAAGGTCATGTAGGAGTCAGTCCTACCCTTGAACTAAAGGGCATGCCCTTGGATAGATTTCAAACTAAAGAAAACCTGCCTTAACAGATCATGATGAAGTGTGACAAGACCAAAAAAGGAGCCATTGCCAAAATCATGTCCCAGAAAAATTCTGAATCCTGAACTTCTGCTTGTGGGATTGCTGGGTGCGATGGTGTCAGTGATTCAGAAACTACTAATAGTCTGTTCCAGGTTAGAGCAAACACATGTTGAGCATGGTGAAAGCCATGTTTCTTACGGTGGGAGAAGATTTACAAACATGGATGACAATGATGTGCTTTGTGGGCAAGCTTTGTGGTGTAGTGTGATAAGCTGCCTCTTTGCGTGTTGTCATATCAGAGTGCTGGCTCAAGTCCCTTTTATTCCACCTCATTAAAAATTTTTTTCTAAGAAAGATTTATTTATTTTTTATTGGAAAGGCAGATCAAATTTATGGAAACAAGGAGAGACAGAAAGATCTTTTATCTGCTAGTTCACTAAGTGGCTATAAACGGCCAGAGCTGAGCTGATCTGAAACCAGAAGCCAGGAGTTTCTTCTGGGTCTCCCACGTGAGTACAGGGGCCCAGGGCTTTGGGCCTTCCTCCACTGCTTTCCCAGGCCATAGGCAGGGAGCAGGATGGGAAGTGGAGCAACCAGGACACAAACCAGCACCCATATGGGATGCCAGTGCATGCAAGAAGAGGATTTAGTCATTAAGGGATTGTATCATCCCCTTCCCATTTTCTAAAACATTTAAAAATTTTTTAAAGGTTTATTTTATTTCTTTGACAGATAGTTTCAAGGTGGGGGAGAATGGGGACGGAGCTTCCATTTCCTGGTTTACTCCCCAGATGATCTTGATGATGGGTCCCTTTTTTTTTTTTTTAGAGATTTATTTTTATTATTTT